TCAGTCCCTGTAATATGTGTATCCCTTTTCCATATGAAACGAGTGTCATTCTTCTGTTCTGAGAAATCTTAGTTTCTGTGAAGTATCTAGCATTTTCTGTTCCTTTCGGAACACTTGGAAGTAGGCCATCGTGGCCCCTCCTATTTAAATACTCCTCTGCAGGCTTAGAAATGGATCGGAACAGAACCTCATTGACCCTCCCTGAACGCCTCTGTGTCCTTCTACTCAGAACCAGCAGTACTTTCCTGACATATTAAGGACTGGAATCACTCCAGCATGGGACTTAGGTATGTATGCTTTTAAAAAAGAAATGGACCAAACCCAGCTTAACTATGTGTTAACTATGATCAAAGTCATACAAATCTTTTGACCCTGGATTCCCTTATTTGTAAGGCACTGAGTCTAATAAAACTTGCACTGTTGTCATGGGGATCAAATAACTAAAGTTTATCAAGTGTCTTGTTACAATGGTGGATGCTCAATACATTGTAATATGGCAGCCAAGATCATGGCCAAAGTTCCCCACCCATCCAGCAATGGGTCACACGGTTTTTGTGACTTGGTTATCTTCAGAACCTTTTGAGATAAGTATGCTTCTGATTTGCTCATAAGCACAACAATCTAATACTTGCTTTCATTTATTTTGCAATATATTTTATTATATATATTTTGTGTACTTTATAACATATTTAAATTTAATAGTCTAGTTTTAAATGTTATTTACTCTGGATTTTTTTCTGCTGTTAATTATATGTACTTTTAATAACTGCATAGTAGTCCATTGAGTTGCTACTTTAGGATTTACTTACACATCCAAGTATTACTAGATGTTTCCAGTGTAAGGACCAGCTTTGAGTCCTTTGATGTTCACTGTCAGATGGCTCCCCAGAGGCTGTGTGTCACATAGTAACAAGAGGTAAGTTTGGCTGGGACATTTGCTACATTCTCTAATTCTATTTTAAAAGTGGAATTAACATTGCATGAAATGATCCTTAAGAAATCAGAAAATTGGCAGTGATTCAGTCAACCCAGTATGCTGCTGATAATGATGGTGATTATGATGATGATGTCTCAAAAAATGTGCTAGGAATCACAGCTAGAGAAGTTCAGTTACTGTGTGGCTAAGAAGCACTAGGAAAAGATACTTGTTTACAAAGCATCAGTAGCACAGATTTCAAAGCGATGGCACAGATCTGCCCCCATTACATTGGTTGCTTTATTGTGTAACATATTTGTAGTGAGCTGGGAAAGATGCACAGACATAAAGGATTTCTTGGCTATCTATCTGCCTTTCTTCTACATCAGGCCCAGATCTGGATAAAAGCTGTTTATAAGTGAGGCTTGAGCTAACAGACAGCTCTCCTCCCATGGAGACCTTAGGCCTGTCTAGTGTCTCCTGGAAGCCAGTCATCTTCCTGGATTTTGGCTTGAAGATGCAGGTAGGGAAAATCTTTGCTCTGCCAGGGCTGCTAAGCTGGGAATTTGATAATCTGGAGCTGCCAGTGGCTTTCTCCTCTGGTTGTCCAGAAGGAGCCAGCTCCTGGAAGAGAAAACCAGGAAAGCAATGAGAGAAGAAAAAGCCTGCCAAGTGGCTCATGCCTTTAATCTCAGCACTCAGGAGGCAGAGGCAGATGGATCCCAGTGAATCTGAGGCCAGCATGGTCTATAATAGAGTCCCAAGATAGCCAGGGCTCCCCAGATCCACCAGCCTTTGCCTCCAGAGTGCTAGGATTACAGATGTGAACCTTTGGCTCCAGGCCTCTGTTTTCCTTTGTCATTTCTTTGTTTTGAGACAGCCCTAGCTGCCTGTAAGTTTGAGACCAGCATGGCAGCATTTCAGACTACACAGAGAGACCCTGTCTAAAAATGTGGGCAAGAGATGAAGAAAAGGAGCAGCTTGTGACAAAAGGGGCAGAGAGGATAAGAGAGTATGTGAGTGCCCTAAGAAACAGTTTGACTGATACCAGAGGTGGCCTGTACTTTGCCTGTGGCATTTTGGGGGATCTAACTATCTCTCTGTCATATGTGACTTTAATCAGACAGCTTTAGCAAGCAGACTAAAATGCAAACATAGATGTTTCTCTCACCCTGGAGCCAGTGTCTGGCTGTGTTGCCCAGGACTTAAATTTGGACTTAAATTTGGGATTAGGTCATTCTACCTCAGACTTCCCAGTAGCTGGGACTAGAGGCACACACGACTATATGAGCTCAGCTAGGTACTTCTTTTAAAGCAAGGCCCATCCCTTTACTGCTCCTGTAGTCTCAGGGCTGGGTGCTGTCTCTCCTGTCTTGCCTTGTTACCCACTTGAGGAGAGCCTCCTCTTCCTCAGTGCAGATTCTTCTCATCCTGTCCAAACCTTGTGGTTTTATCTTACAATCTTTACTTCATTTTTCAGCTCAACTCACTCTGGATGGTCGTCTACTGCCCCAAAGCCTTGTCTACTGCCCAAACCACAGGCACGTTTGCTGCATGCTTATGTAACCTCAGCATCGTTTGACCTAGCTCAACCTTTCTCTCTGCTTGAACCCCTTTTCTTTGGCTTCCACAATACCTGTGCATGGCACCTTCTTGGCCTTCCTCTTCCTTTCAAGCTTGGTTCTCAGCATCCCTGCCTTCTTCTCCACCCACAAATGCTAGGGTTTCTGAGTAGCCCTGTCTTTGTTCTTTTTATCTCACCGTGCACTGTCTTTGTCTTTTTTTCTCTCCCACAGCAGAGCTTCACGCACTCTTCTGGCCTCCATTACTATCTGTATACCTTGGCTCCTAAATTTATGTCTTTAGCCCAGACTGTCCCTTGGACTGTCACGATCACCTAGCCAATCGCTGGGTTTCAGATTTCTACTTAAATGTATCAAACATATATCAAACCCGACAGGTTTCAAATTGAACTCCTCATCTCCTCCCACAAATCTTTCCTCCAGCAATGTTTCTGAACTCCTTAACGGCTCCCCAACGGACCCAGCTGCTTAAGCTGCATTCTGCAAGTCATGCTCAATCTTTTCCTTCCTCATTCCCTCCGTTCGATCTAACCTCCAAACCTGCCAACATTACCTCCTTAATGGTTCTCAGATCAACCTATTTCTCTTCATCTCCATTAAGACCTGGAAATCCCGGTCAACAGCAGCCTCCTCATGGGGACCCCTCTTTACCCAGGCTTCTTCTTTCAATATATTGACCACACGGCCCAAGGAGTATTTTTAAATACATACATTTCATCCTGCCTTGGCTCTGCTTAACGGCTTCCGGGGCTGCTAGGATTGCTCACAGGGAATGTCCATAGACTTTCTCTTGAGTCCCTTTCCCACCCCAAGTCTGGCAGTGTGGCTACCTATGCAGCCTCCTCTTACCCATTTGACTCCGGTCTTTCCTGTCTCCAGCTACCCACTCCTTTCTCCAGACAGGTCCAACCACGCTGCTTCTCTGAGAGTCTGACCCACCGCTGCTGCTACTTACTTCCTCAGAGGACTAATCTCTACCCATGTACAGGAATTACATGTGTCAGGACCCCTGGCCTCTTCCTTCTCTACACTTGCCACACGAGATGTTTCTATTGGTTGTTTCTAGGTCCCACAGGAATATCAGGCCCTTGGCTGTCCTTCCGCTGCCCACCCTGGTGCTTGGTAGGGTGAACATGAAACGTCTGGTGTTCCTTCAACCCCAACCCCAGGTCAGCCGTGTAGCTCCCCTTCATTTGGGGACATTTTCTTTCATGCCAAAGCTGAACAGCAGCAAATCCCTCAGTGGTTCTTAAGGTGAGCCGGCAGCTCTTCGGAGGAGCCAGGTCCAGCTCTTTAGGGAAGCAGAGAGAGTTGATTTCACCCAGCGGACTCGACCTCTTCCCTACAAGTTCCTTCACCGTTTGTTAGCATACTTTAGAGAGCTCTTCCTGAACTGAAGTGACCCTCTGCTTCCTTGCTCCATTCTTTCAGGAAGCCTTGGTATTTCCAAGAGAGGTCCTTTCGGCCAGCCCATTGTTCTCCATTTCATCCTATAGTCTGAAGCTGTTACTGGCGAGGCCTCAACTCACTAATGTGAAATTGCCCAGAACCTCCTCAGCGAGCCAAACCAGGTGCTAGAAAGGGGACAGACGACCAACCGACCTGTTTAGCGAGTTGTCCTTAAGAATCTTAAGAATGGCCTAGACTTTATGGAAGACATATTGGTTGTGTCTGGTCCTCAAGGAGCAAGCAAGCTGTATGGTAGAATGGATCAGACCAAAAGGTGTTCCTAGGGGACAGAGCCTGCAGAAGCCATGAGATGGGTACATTCAGGGTCTGCCCACTCTGACAATAACAACCTAAAGTGTTTGTTCCTAGAAGAGGCAGCTCCTAAGCCGCCGTGTGTCAGGGTGGCGCATGTGAACCCTTTTCTGCCCTTATAATGCAGGACTAGGTGGACCGGTAACCACCTCTCACAGAGGAAGGGACTTATTACATTTGGCCTTGTCTGCCTCCAGCAGAACCAATCTTTCCTGCTCTTTGTGCAGTGACACACCTCTTCGAGGAAGGAGGAGTACAGGATTTCCATCATTACCATTGCCCTATTAAAAAAAATACACAAACAAAACAACTAATTACTCTCTGCAGAAAAGGCGCATAAACAGGGTGAGTCTAAGATGAACCTGGCATGAGCCATCCCGGTAAAAACTAAGAAAGGGCCCTCCCCTTTCCCGCCGAGCACCCGCCCCTGGCTAGGGCTCTGCCATTCTCGGGCAGGGTCTCCAGGCCACTCCTTAGGGTGGGAGGTAGGGGCTCCCTGCTGCAGATCTTCCGCGTCCACCCGTCCTGCAGGCGCTCTGCCGGGATGTCTCCCACGCCTCAGGTGTTTGCTGGCGGTGGGCCTGGAATCCTTTCTTTTTGTCCAGCCCCTTAGGGCACCTTCCAGCCCGAACCGCACCGCCAACCCGGCCGCCAGGAGCGGGGACCGGCTAGCACTCGGGGCGGGAACCGCCCCTGGGGTGGGTGGGGAGCACGGGCCCCTTCCACCGCGTACGCCCCGGCACCCACCCCGCAAGGGCCGGCTGCCCGCGGGGCGCCACGCCCCCGGGGTCCGGAAGGCGTGGCAGCCGGCGCAGGGCTTCTGAGAACTTGGAGCCCGGCGGCGCGCGGCTCCCGCTCGGGATGCGGCGGTGGCTGCTGCTGCTTCCTGGTTCTCAGCTCGCCGAGTGGGGGAGAGCGTGAGCCCGCGGAGGCGGGAGAAGGAGGAGCGGGCGGAGGCGGGGGCAGAGACGCCAAAGCTGGAGCTAGCCGGACGGGTCGCTCCTGCTCTCCGGGGAGACTGTCTGCCCGGGCCCGGAGAAGGGGCGAGCCCCGCGCGCTCCAGGAGGACGGTCGGGAGCCCAGCAGCCCGCCGAGGGCTCGGAGCCCGGCTCCCCTCCTTTCCACCTCTGGAGAAAGGGCGGGAGGGAAGGAGGGGAGGGGAAGATCCTTCGGAAGAGGCGGAATGGCCGGTCTCAGGGGGCTCGGGCGCTGCTTCTCCCGGGAGCTGCCTCCACGCCCGTGGCTGCCGAGAGGACTGCCCTGAGCCAGGGCTCTCCGTTCCCCAGTGTCCGTCAGCGCGGCCCCCTCGGGGCTCCGGCAGCAGCGCCGGCATGTCGTCCGGCACGATGAAGTTCAATGGCTATCTGAGGGTCCGCATCGGAGAAGCTGTAGGGCTGCAGCCCACCCGCTGGTCCCTGCGGCACTCGCTCTTCAAAAAGGGCCACCAGCTACTGGATCCCTACCTGACGGTGAGCGTAGACCAGGTACGCGTGGGCCAGACCAGCACAAAGCAGAAGACCAACAAACCCACCTACAACGAAGAGTTCTGCGCCAATGTCACCGACGGCGGCCACCTGGAGCTAGCCGTCTTCCACGAGACGCCTCTGGGCTATGACCACTTTGTGGCCAACTGCACGCTGCAATTCCAGGAGCTGTTGCGCACGGCGGGCACCTCGGACACCTTCGAGGGCTGGGTAAGTAGCGATCGCTTCGCCCCTTCATGTCTGCTGGACCTTTCCTCCTTTTAATTTTTAAAACTCGTCAGGGTCCCGCTTTCTCATCGCCCTGCAGGGGAAGGAATTCCCTCTAGACTTTGGTCCTTCCCCAGGTGGCCTGCACTGTTGACGCGACAGCCGTGGGTGTATGCGGGCGCAGGTGTGACTCTGGGAAGCCGTCCTCATTGTGGACCTGGACTTTGCACTTAGGGGAAGCCCGTAGTGATACAGAGCTCCATACCCATTCTCTCAGGGTAGGGGGTTTAGGAATCTTAACTCTCAGCCCACGGATAGATAAAGAAAAACAGAGGAGGGGCAATATGAAAGTGACATGATTTGAAGCAAGTGCTTCAAACATGTCTTAGGAGAAAGCCATACATTCTCGCGAGTATTATTCATAGTGTTTATGGATACATGTTGGTTCAGACAGACATGCACACGTGTTTCAGCATGCACATCCATTACATCCCAGAGGTACAAAAGCTACACTGGCAGGGATCAGAGTGAGTGCATGGCTTTGCACCCTGGCAGAGTTTTGGTTAGTTTTCCCCTTGGGGATTAGGGCGGGCTGGGTGGTGGTGGTGGTGGTGGGGCAAGGTTTAAAACTTCTCTGTGTTTGCTTTAAGTTCAGTCAGCCTGGGGTCTGGTGCTGCAATAGAGTTTCCAAACTATTCCACTGTGAGGTTTGGATGTCCTCCCTCTGCGTTGACGGTTAGCTTTCCGAAACTTCTTATATGCCGCTGCCATTCCCATAGGTCCCTGGAGATAGAATCTCTACTGTGAATTTCTAGAGTGCCCCACACAGCGCCAGAACGGCCTTATGTCTTAATCCTCACTCTGTCTTTGTGATGCTGGGGTTATTGTGCTCACTCTGAGATGCTGAAATGATAATTACAAACGAAGCGGTCTGGCAAAGTGTAGCGAGCGAGCGGTAAAGACTGTAGAGTTTAATAATGGTTTTAGTTCTGACAGGAGTGGGTTTGGAACCTGAGGTGAATCGTTATTCAGAATCTGTTTGAAATTCACAAGTGGTAGAATCAGATGGTTGGTGACAAAGATTCATGGAGATATGTATTTTATACTTTAGAGTGTTGTTAATTTCACCATGTATTGTGTAATAGTACAGAAGGCTTGTAAAAATTCACCTTTTAAATAGAAATAAAGAAAAATCCATGACTGTTTAACTTTAGTTCTCAGATTATGGGGTTAATTTCATTCACCTCAGCCAAACTTTCTTTTCTTTTGTTTTTCTCTCTCTCTCTTTCTTTCTTTCTTCCTTCCTTCCTTCCTTCCTTCCTTCCTTCCTTCCTTTCTTCCTTTCTTTCTTTTTTTAAATTTAGTGGTAGGCTTGATGGGATCCGATTAAATACAAAATGAACTTTGCTGTTGGTTTGAGACAGGGTCTCACACAGTAGCCCAGGCTGGCTTGACCTTGGGACAATCCTTTTGCCTCAGTTTCCCGAATAAGTTTACACGTTGACCGAATTTCCAGACATGGAATTGAACTGCGCATTGAGAATTTTGACTTAGTGTTTGGTTAGGAGTTAGGCTGGGCAAATCTCTAGAGGAATTAGGTGCAGGAGTATGGCGGTACAGGCAGGCCGTCAGCCCATGATAAGCATGTCGTGCTGGAGACAGCCTAGATTAGCTTTTAAACACTTCTCCTTTTAAATAAACTAGATAGCCTCAGGGCCTGGGTCTCCAGCATCAGTGCTGACAGACTTCCTAGCTGACAGAACGATAGTTGGGATTGAGAGCATGGAGCCTAAAGGAAGGCCTAGACATGAGGCTATGGTCAAACAAACAAACAAACAAACAGCTCAGTGTAGGGTTAGCTAGGGAGGGCATGGTGCTGTTTATTGTTGCAAGGGATGAAAGATTTAAATGTGAACTAATGTTCAAAGATTCATATTGCTTAAGATTCTGCCTGTTTAATAGGGCGCACTGGTGGCATTTTGGAAAACTTTAATAGTAGGATAGGACCAGCATTTAAATGTTGTTGGAGGCAATGATTTGTCGTGAATTTAAATTCACTTAGATGGCATATATGTTTATTTGCGTCTCTGTGTGTGCGTGTGTGTGTATGTGTGTGTATATGTGTATATAGTTCTAAGTGTTTTGAAACTGAGGAAAGTATGACTAGAGTGTTTTCTTGTTAAGAATATTCTTCAAAATTGTCTTTTATAGACTGTAGAAATGCATTTGCATATTAAATTCAAAGGTGTAATTTGTTCACAGTTCAAGTGGAAGAGTAAATATTATTCTGGTTGCTAGTGGAACTACAAATTGCTGACTTAAAAAAAATCTAGCAACTACTGGAGCCTAAGAACGGGATGTAACCGTGAGTTCATTATAAACCAGCCTTCTAATTCTCATTAGAATAGACCCTGAAACTCTCTGTGCTTCATTGTCCAAGACACTTTCTAAGTATGAAGACGGTAAGCAGTTATTCTGGCTTTAACATGAGTTTGTTGGTGTTCTGTAGCAGGAGAAAGGCAAAGAGTTATTTTAGCAAAATGTATATCTGGTGCCAAGTCCACCATCTTACATTTTTATTAATTGTACACTTCTTTTATTCAGTATATATAAGATAAATGAATGGGATGCAGGTAAATTTTTTTTCTTTAATGGAAACTGATCACATCAGACACTGAAATTGGTAAGACCTCAAGTCAAAGATCTATGTTTTCACCGTGAACCCGAAGAGCAAATGGAGCCAAGAATGAGGAAGTTTGTAAAGATAACAGAACTTGGCCCAATCGAAAACAGGAACTCCACAAAGAAAAAGCAGAGTCTTTCCAGTTTTCAATTGATAACCCTCAAGCTTGAATGATGGTGGTAAGAGGGGACCTGACACAGGTTACCAACATTTGGAATGAGAACTAGGACAGCGCTGTAGAGCCTACCTACAGTACAAAGGGGATGCGGGTAAGTTACACTGTTATGCCGGTGAGCTCTGTGTCTCAGAGGAAATACACACATAGCTTGAAAAGACATAAACTTCCCAATTCCCCTCAAGTAACTTAAGCAGTTTTATGATCATTAAAACTAATTAAGTTTATAGTTAGAAGTCTTCAACAATACAAGTCAGTGTCTCAGATGACTTAACTGATGACTTACATACTGTGTACATAGAGATGCATTATTACCTGCTTTGTACAGATTCTTTCAGAAAATAGAAGTTAGTGAAACAGATTGCTTCATTATTTTAAATAGTACCAAAACACAACGGAGACATTACAAAGCAAGATAAAAAATACCTGCAGACAGGTATCATCCTTCATGATCTTAGATGAAAAAAGCTTTAATATTTAGTCAGTTAAATCCAACACCGTAACAAGTAGAGAATACAACATAACCAAGTGAGGGGTATATCCAGGACTCTAGGGAGGATTTCATGTTTGTAGAACTGCCAGTGCATGCCTTTTGTAGACAGGGTCAAAATGAAGGCTTGTATGATCACCTTAATAGATACAGAAAAAGCACTTGAGAAAATGAACAATACATTCAGGATAAAGTTTCCAAGCAAGTTAGAAACAGAGAGAAACTTCTTAGCATAGAGGCCGTCTATGCTAATCGGCAGGAACATCTTGGTGACAGAGTGAATACTATTCGTCTGTGATCAGGCACAAGGCAAGGGTGCTGCTCTTCCTACTTTTTCCATACCCTCCAAGAGTGCAATAAGGAAGTTTCAAGAAACAAAATACTCGTAGATCACAGAGGAAGAAGTAAAACCATCTTTATTTACAGAAAAAAAGGTAGACCAACTGTCAAGTTTAGCTGGTTTTGCAAGACCCAAACTAATAACGAGTGTACAAAAATCAGCTGCGTTTCTTTGTCATTAGTAGTGAACTATTGAAAACTAAAATTATTTTTAATATGTCACTTGTAAGAAAATTGAAGATGAAATTGGATGAATTAGACAAAACAGATGTGAGACTTTTCCAGTGGAAATGATAAAACATTGCTGAAGTAAAGAGCCAAGGAAGTGGAGACTATGATGTATTCCTGGCTGGAAGGATTCTGAATTATTAAAAACTCTGTTCTTCAAAAATATTCAGTAGATTTAGAGCAGTCTCAGATTTAGAGGCTCTCAGTAAGGCTCAGTCAGTCATAGAAATTGGCAGATGGATAGGATACTAATTACGTAGAGATGGATACAAAGGACCTATGTTGGTCTGAGAATGATTTTTAGAAACAGCACATGGAAGGATTTGCACTATCTGATTTTAGAGTTTGTTGTAGTGTTACCATAGGCCAGTGGGGTAGAAGAATCCAGAAACAGATCTGTATAGGAACCATCAGTGAGATTTTGACAAAAGAACCTGGAAGTTAGTTCAGTGGGGAACGAGTCTGTCTTCTCAACAAGTGGCTGGGCTGTGTAGCCCTATGGAGAAGCAAAGGCTTTGACTTCTACTCCACACCGTGTACAAAGTTAATTCAAAGTGCTATAGACCTGCAATAAGAGCCTGTAAGAATTATAGCAGAAAATCATAATTTTGAGTTTAGCCAATAAATCAATAAATAATAAAGGAAGAAAACATAGCAATCCTAAAGTCCCAATTATTAGAAGAATTGGGCTTGATCAGATTTAAAAATTACTCCTTCTTAAAAGATGTCCAACAGTATGAAAACACAAGCCAATGTCTTGAGAGCAGTTAAGTGCATAATATAAGTTAGGCAAAGTACCGGCACCACAAATAAATAAAATAACTCTAAAATCTCAACAGTAATGAGAAAACACACAATTTGTGCAATTTAAAAGCAGGCCATAGGATTTGAATAAATACCTTTGTGGTAAATAGCATATTGAAATAGACCCCATAATCCCAATCACCAAGGAAATACAGACAAAAACAAACTATCATTGTATCCCCCTTGGGAAGGCCAGAGTCAGTGTCCTGCCCATCACAAGTGTAGGTTAGGAAGGGTGCAGCTGTAGCTCTCTCACACAGCGGTTAGGAAGGTCAAATGCTTCA